TCTCTCCAACACAAGGGTTGCATTAAGCGTGCCAGTCACCAGCTTGATTAGTATTCTTCAGCTAAGATAGAGAAGGCTGCCAAGACGACAAAGCCGGAGGCTTTCTGCCAGAGATGATTGACTGACTCATTTCCAGCACCTCACATTTACAGACCCGATAAGTTTATATTAGAATGCTGATATCCCACTCACTCACCCACCATCTGAGGGGCTAATTTAGGTTTCCGATAGCTGCTGAATAATATGGAATACAGCCTGGGCAAGTGTCTTCTGATTAATCTCAGCTTTGTTGACATTAAGGCATGTTTCAGGCACTTTGCACCCAAACCTACAACTTGGAGAAATTTCATCCTTATAGAACTGCAGATAGGTTACTTCTAACACATTTGTCTGATCTTTACTTCAATAAAAGAAGTCTTCTTCAAGTAGAGCTGAGGCTCCCAATATTTTGGGAACCAGGGACCAGTTGTGTGGAGAGAGGTTTTTCCACAGACCGGAGGGTGCGTAGTTTTGTGTGCTGCCTGCATCTCACGGATGGGGCTTTGCTTGTTTGTGTGGACCGATGCTGGCACAGACCGGTAGCAGTCCACAGACCACAGGTTGGGGACCCCTGAAGTAGAGGAAGCAGAAAACGAGACCCTAATTAAGGAACTATCTAGGAGACATTTGCCCGCACCAACACTGGCAGATCAAATCACTATATATAAATAGGGAGCAAACTCCACATATCCACTAGCACTGAAGATATTACCTAGTTGGGTAATGAAATGTCTGCAAGCAAACCATCAAGTTCAGAGCTACTGTGTATAAATAGGGAACCACACACTCACTAGCTCTGATGATGTTACCTAGTTGGGTAGTGAAACATCTGCAAGCAAACTCCAAAATGCTTCTTCACGAGGCAACTGGACTGTCTTGTTTTTTCCTTGAAGATGTTTCGCTTCTTATCCAAGAAGCTTCTTCAGCTCTGATGGTGGGACATGGAAGAGCTGAAGAGTCAGAGCTGAAGAAGCCTCCTGGATGAGAAGCAAAACATCTTCAAAGAAAAACCAAAGCATCTTTGGGATAACTATGACCTGGAAGACTGAGAATCTCCATAGACGTCTGCAAGCAAAACTGCCAGGCTGAGAACGGATGTGTATAATCAGGTAGCAAACTCCATCCTCAGTCGCACTGATAGCATTATGCAGTCGGATAATGAAACGTCTGCCAAGCTCAGAGAGCACCAAGGACTCCATAAAGTCATTTGCCTAACAGTAGAGCTGGTTCTGCGGAGATGACCCTACCTAACAAAGAGGCGTAAGGCAGGAAAGGAAATTAGTTATGATCAGCTGGGTTAGGAACTGAAGAGAATTCCAGCTAGCTGAACTAGATATAATATCTATCTCCGTGTTTTTGGAGTCTTGAAATGTACAGGTTTAAAGCACAACCCTCTTCTGGCATCAGCTGAGTTCTCCCTGGAGACTCCCCCTCTGCTTTGCTCTTGGTAGCCTGATAAGCGCAGTGTGAAGAACACAAGCCGAGCGAGGGAACGGCTGGAAACTTTAATTTTTGCTTGCTTCCGTCCTCTCAATCCCTGTAAGAAAGCTGATAAATTATCAAGCACCACTCAGGAAGCCTCTGGGTCCCCTATTTCTATTCTGTTCTGTTCTGTTCCGTTCTGTTCCTTTCCATTCCATCTCTTCTCTTCTCTTCCCTTCCCTTCCTTATTCTATTCCATTCCTTATTCTATTCTATTCCATTCCATTCCATTCCTTTCCTTTCCATTCCATCTCTTCCCTTCCCTTCCCTTCCCTCCCCTTCCCTTCCTTATTCTATTCCCTTCCTTATTCTATTCTATTCTATTCTATTCTATTCTATTCTATTCTATTCTATTCTATTCTATTCTGTTCCTATTCTATTCTATTTTATATTCTATTCCATAGTTTGTTCTATTCTATATTCCATTCCTTATTCCATTCCTTATTCTATTCTATTCTATTCTATTCTATTCTATTCTATTCTATTCTATTCTATATTCTATTCCATAGTCTGTTCTATTCTATATTCCATTCCTTATTCTATTCTATTCTATTCTATATTGCATCTCTTCTCTTCCTTCGACACCTCCTTCCTGCTACTAACCTTTTCCCAGATTTAATGAGCAATAAATTGTGCCTAAGCCAGAGGGTTTTCTTTCCCTCCCCCCTATTCATTGTAACACACCTAATAAAACAAGCTCAGTTTACAAGCCCATGCCTTCATGGCTTGCGAAGGCTTTGGTGAGTTGTGAGAGGAGGCCAAATCCCGGGGGAGCATCTTTTGACCTGTGTTCCAGATTCTGTAATAATAAATATTTCCCAACTTGTCGTGTCTTCGAGAGCTGTAGACAAGACCAGCGGGTAGCTATTGTGTGTTAAACCTCTAACGAACTGGATCCCAACTCTAAGCCTCCTCCAAAGATTCAGCTAGCAGCTTTTTCTTTTTTCAATATGAAATTTTTGGGATTGAAAGCACTTACCACAGTAAGTACTTACCACGAGTTGCCGCAGTTTGCTTAATGACGCTTTGAAGTTATGATGGCACTGAAAAAAAGTGACTGATAACTGTTTTTTTCCACACAACCGTTGTAGCGTCCTTGCGATCCCGGGATCAAAATTCAGACGCTTGGTAAATGACTCCAATTTATGACGGTTGCAGTTTAAGCAACATCTGGAGAGCCGTAGATTCTCCTAACTTTGCCTTGGATGATCTCCAGATTTAATCCAACTTTTTAGTTATTATTGTTGTTGTTATCAAAGACTCTTTAAGACAAAAGAACAAATAGTGGTGTCTGAGCAGCAGCTTTTCACTTACTGTTCACATTTCTCCTGTGCATGAAAAAGGAACACATCTGGAAGAGTTGACTTTGGGGCCTTCTGGGGCCTCCCAGTCTAAAGCCAAAACCTCAGCCCATTCCTTTTTTTTTTCCTAGGTCTTATCAAGGAACGTGTCACATGCAACTCTTTTTCCCATATTTGTTTATGTGCTGTGTTCCAAAGCATGTACGGCCCTCTCTTGGCTGAGTCCTGGAACCGCACCTTCTTCTCTTGTAGCATAGATCAGTGATGGTGAACCTTTTAGAGACCGAGTGCCCAAACTGCAACCCAAAACCCACTTATGCATCATCGGGTGCCGGGTGGGTGTGGCCCATTGGGTGGGTGTGGCCCATTGGGTGGGCGTGGCTGCAGTGATAACAGCAGACTGGGTGGAATTAAAAAGTTCAATCAATCAACCACCAGAATTCCTCAGCCAGCATGCGTGGCTGAGGAATTCTGGGAGTTGAAGTCCACAAGTCATCAAAGGGCCAAGTTTGAAGACCCACGGTCTGGAGCAATTCTGTTCTTCATTAACCAAGACTTTCCTCCCCCCCCCCCATCCTGGTTGTTTGGTTGGCCGGCTGGCTGGTTTTTGGTTGTTTTTTTTTCAAGATCATAAAAAAAATGGCAGGATCCGTTTCTAATTAGCTCTTTCTGTTCTTGGGACAATAAAAGTAGGCTTGAGGCTTGAACGGCAGCACTGAGTTCCGGAAAAGTCTGACTGCATTGTAGGACCCTGTACACAACATATCATCAGATGAAGCTGGCAGAAGGAGATGGCTCCAGGCAACCACTTTGGCAAACTTTTCTGGATGGCCTCAAGTTGAGAAAAGTCCTTCGAAAGAGCCAAAATGCTCTGTTTGCATTCTCACCCCCTGTGCTGAGAGCAGATTGTTGTTGCAACCACTTCCAATTCTCTCCAAACGAATGAATCTGCCTCTTTGGGATCACCTTGTATGTTGACCAACTCTTGAGTAATATTAAGAAACAGAGCGTGTAGCTTGGAAGGTTTTGGGGGCTAAGCTTCACCACCTCTGAATTCAGAAGGTTCCTTTTGAATGGGAAAAGGAAGCAAGTTTGATGTCTGTGGAGATCCTCAGGTCATAGTTATAACAAAGGTGCTTTTTTAGAAGGCAATTGGACTTTCTTGTTTTTCTTTGAAGACGTTTTGCTTCTCATCCAAGAGGCTTCTTCGGCTCTGACTGGAGGGTGGGGAAATGGGAAGATTTTGTAGTCTGCAATGTTCATACTCCCATAGTCTTCAAAGGGCGTCCATCCCCAAGTTCCTAGCTGATAAATGGAGCTCTTTAAGTTCCATGTTAATATTCGCTCTCTTCCTTTGGAAAGGATTTTGAGATATTAAAATAGCTTGTTCTTCTTTCTTGTGAATTTCTCAGTATCTGTTCTAGATCTGTGCTGAGTTTCCTAAGCAAGAGATATATTACTAATAATAATAATAGCAGAGACAGGCAAATGTTGTAGTTTTAATTTCAGCTTTATTTTTGCCATCCGTAAGATAACTCATTTCTTCATATATTTATATTGTCTTATCTCTCTCACATACAAATTCATACCCAACCACACACACATTCCCCCTTTCAATTAGATCAACGCAATTTAGAAGTCTGTCTAACAATAATGTTATC